ATGGTAGATGTATAGCTAAAAATAGAATTTAGAAATAGAAGCAGAGGAAGAAATATAAATAAGGAAGATGAATTTGGTCCCAAAAGCTGAAGATGCTGCTGGTGTCTTGACAGAAAGCTCTTAAAAATGTCTCCTGTAAGGAACTCAGTCTGTAAAGACATCCAGTAGCAGACATGAGGCAGACAGAAGAAAAAAATTGTGCGTGACAAGAAATGGGATTCCAGTTTACTCCTGATGGAAGGGTTTTACAAAGTGATTGCCTTTATATCATTGGTAATGAATTAAGCTCTTTTCATTATGTATTTATAGGGACGTGTGGGGTGTGGGGTGGGGAGCATGAGTATGTATAAGGAGACCAAGAGGCGGAGCACGAACATTCCGTCTCCTTTACAGTGACCTTCCCTGGAAGGAGCTGAGCACACTGTTTCACCTTTTCATTCCCCATTTTCTGGGAAGAAATTTCCAGCCAAATGGAAAAAAACTATTCTCCTTCCTGAGCATTTTTGTTCACTGTCATCCTTAGAGAATAAACATGAAGAATGAAAATTACTTGGAGCTGAAAAATTTACTCGGAGCTACGCGTCTTTTTGCAGCTCACTCCCTTAGGAGTATGGGCATAAAATTGGGAGGTCGGGGGAGGCAGGGGAGAAAGGCAAGTCGTCATAGAAATCAGTTTGACTTAATATTCAATTTGGGTTAAAAGCCCATTGACTGCTTTTTACTGTGTCATTGCAATCTGAAACAAAACCTTCTGTGTGTCATGTGAGAGGAGCAGCAGAGAACAGAGTGGGGTGAGACGTTTATGTGAACAGACAGCAGTAGACCATGGCTGTCCTGGATTTTGATCAGGGGAAATTCAGTGGAGGGGACATCGCAGATAGAACTAAAGAGAAACTGAAAAACTGGAAGATGGCTGTCCCTCACAAAAGCAGAAGGGCTGGCAATCTGAAGAGGACTCATTTGTCTGGTAAAGCAGCACCTGGGTCTCAGAACCAGCACCTCATTTTGCAAGAACATTGTTACTAAACCCAGAAGCCTTGCATTTGGAAGTGCATTGATTAAGTGTCTTGGAGCCCTCTTCCTATGTACTAGCTGAGTGACCTCAGGTTGCTCCTCTGTAAAATGGGAATCTAGCTCAGAGGGCGTGATGAAGAATAAAGGAAATTTATTACTGCAGGTGAAGCATCCGGCAGGACCTGTGACATAGCAACTGCTCACTAACTCTCGGTGGCTATCAACCCTATTCATGTTCACAGTACCTGGAATATTAAACAGTAGTTGTGCCAGCATTAGGAGTGGGTTATCTTGATCCATGAAACTAATTTCCTGGTACTTTTTGCTTTGAAAAAATAAACAAAACAGAAGAGCAGAAGCTTTGGGGTAAGATCAGCTGCCAGTGAGTGACGAAGTAAATCTCAACTCCCCATGGGCAACAGAACTGGGAGATTAAAAAAAGCAGTGGGCAGAATGTTCTAGCTAACCGAGCTCACGGCACATGGAGCAGAAGCAGAGGTCAAGGAGGGAAATTTTACATGAAACAATTGCCTGAGAGGAGTCACAGACTTATTACGACTAAGGTGGGACCTCTGAGGTTCTACTGATTTCTTTTTGGGGTTTTGTTTTTGCCTTTTTTCTTTTTTTTTTTAAGGAATGAGAACAATGTCGTATCTAAAAGATGTCAGCCAGAGTGGAATGTGGCTGTGATTATACGGGGGCAAGGGTTATGGGAGTGCAGCAGCTCTGGCGTGAGATAGCCCCGATGTGCGCTTTTGTCTGGCCACTTCTCTGCTATGCCCAGCTAAGTCATGGAACCTCTTGGCCTCCATTTCTTTGTGTATAAAATGGGGGCAATATTAGTGCCCATCTTAAATGCTCAAGAAATGGTGATTCTGGTTATGAGAAATGAATACTTAAATAGAGGGATGTCACTCTTCACTTTGATTCTGGTTCTAGAATCGGGATGAACATCGAGGTTGGGAACGTTTCTTACACAGGAGCCATCATCTCCTGGTCATCCTCGGAGCCCTGCCTGGAGGACTATTACCATGTTATGTACAGGCCTAACTGGAACAGCATCTTCTCTGGCTATCTTCGCTACAGCTTCCACCACGAAGAGAAGGTGCCACGAACAATCAGCTCCGTGGTGCTGGAACATCTCGCCCCTTCCACTCTCTACTTCCTGTGCATCAGCTGTGAGAAGGCTGCCTTCCCCTACAAGCCCTACTGCACCATGTTCCACACCCTGGATAAGAGTCCCCTGGCTGCTGGAAGCTCCCTGGTGGACCCCCAAATCTCCCTTTGGGTGCTAATGGCCATTCTGCTGGCCTGCTTCACAGCTGTCTTGGCCTTCATCTGTCTCCAGTTTTGGTGCATCCGTTGTCATGAGCCTCGATGGTCGTACAGAGCTGGCCACATGGAGGAAGCCAATGGCTTGGTGAGATGGCCCGAGGAGTCCCCAGTGCTTGGTCAGAGGGAGGAAGACCTGCAGGGGCTCCCCCTGGTGGAGCTTCCACGCAAGAATTCCATAGCTGGAGCTGAACCAGAAGCTGAAGCCGACCATGATGCCCCTGACGTGGGTGCCTTACAGAGGGAGGGTGGTGTTCAGCTCGCTATACTGCCTCATCGCGGGGAGTGAGAGGTGGGGAGAAGACAGCTGCATCACATAGCCTAAGCCCTCCACACAGTAGGCCTTCTGTAAAAATGTGTCTATAGACTACCCATTTCCTTCCCCTCAAATGTCAGTGCTACTGTGGATCGCCTGAGTTGGATGAATGCCTGATGATGAAACTTCTCGAGCTGGAAGAGATATACCCTCAGGGTGTGCAAAGGAGAAACATGACATCCCTTCAGCAGTGTCCCATTAGGAACTGAAAGCATGATTTCAATATTAAAATAAACATAGATATATTATAGACTGGAAAGTAAAAGTTTGCATGACAAATAAAACACATACTTGAAGAAAATTTTTGAGTTGCAAATGGATTGATTGAGCTATGCTTTCAGTGGCTGAGGTAGCTGTCTGGACTCCTCTGCCATTGGGGGCATTGTTTTGGAAAAGTATAAGAAGCCTTGATCTAGAGTGTTTTCCAACTTTTAGCCAATCACACACTACTTTGTAGGCCACCTGCATTTTTTTTTTAAAACATGGACTATCTTCACTATTATTGACCATATTTTTCTCTGAATTGACTCATTCTTTAAACTTATTTTTAGAAGATAGCCTTATATTACTCCATAAATGAAAAACTAGCACACTACAGCTATAAATAGAAGGGAAGAGACATGAGAATAAATACAATGAAAACAAAATAATATTAAATTTAACATAGCTACTACTGCTTGCCAATGACTGAGCTTAAGGCCTGCTCTCTTATCTTTAATGAAAAGGGAGATCAGCCAGTGTTGGAGAGGTATTGAAGGCATGTTAGCACCAACATAAGTCTTTCTCCTTGATATATCATAAGGTTGGAAAGAGAACTGAAAACACATTTGCTGTTTTTACTTTGTGAGTCATTGTTAGCTAATGCCATGTCTGTGAACCATCTCAAATTCTGTCTGGAAGCTTCCCTTGTTTCGAGGATATCACCTTGACCAGATTGGCTGTTCTGGAGAAGACACCTGAACTCTCTCAGCATCATCCCAAGACTTTCCAAGTGTCCCCTTTAAGCCCAGATGGTAGGAACTCATTTTGGTTAATCACGCTTCCAAATCTAGAGCTCTCCAACCTAAAGGAGCACCTTTTCTAACATTGTTGTATCCACCTAGGTATTTCCTCTTCTAAGTCCACCTGTCCTTACTTTTTGAGAATGGGGTCAAAGGTGGCTATTTTTATTCCATCAGAAAGAAAAATGTTGCCTTCTTTTTTGTTGTTGACACATTTCACCCTTTTGGAGGCATTCTTTATTTCTCTCCTACAAACCCCTATGGTAAGAAATGAATCTACCACATATGTTGTGGTACTGGTGAGACTTTGAGAACGTTGCTCCCTGGCACCCATCATGGGTGTGCAAATGAAACTCCAGGAGGGCAGAGATCACCTCACTTGGTCTCTCACATGTATGTCTCCAGCACGTAGAATCTAGCCCTGTGTTTGGCCTTTAGTGGGTGCTTAAGAAATGTTTGTTTAATGAGTAGAAAGAAGGACTGAAGGTTTAGAACAGAACAGCATTTGGGAAGGTTTAGTTAGCATCAGGCTGTGTATGTGTGAGCCCAAACCGAAAAGAGGAGACGACCTGACTCTCAGCTCTCCCTTCAGCCATCTGCAGTTTCCTTCAAAGCTCCACCTTCCCAACCTCTACAGGTCTGCAAATCCCTTACATTTATGGAGCACAAAAGCCCAGAATCACAGGACGACACTGCACTCGATCAACTGAGAAACAGAAGGAGCTGAGGAGCCAAGAGGAGAAGCCCGAACACTTCCTGCTCAGCATCCGGCACCCCCCAACCCCCCAGGTCTGTGTTCATCCCCCTCCCCACTGGTTGTGAACAAATAAAGATAAATACACTTGCAGCTGCTTCTGCCTGGATCTCCTCACCTTCTGGATTTTCTAACTCAGGGAACATTTTTCTATTTGCTTTTTCTCACTAACTCTCTTACAAAGTAGGACAGGGCAGATGACTTACCTTGGATCCATAGAGGTAATAAGGCTGGACGTTGGCAGGTTTATCTCTCTGTGGTTCTTGGGTGAAAGGAATGGCAGTTCGGACAAAACTAGCAGAAGAAAGAGATAGGGAAGCAGTTAGCTGCCTCCTGATACTATTCTTCACAGGACACAAGATAGAGGGAGTGCTTCTTGACCAGGTGGAGGTTCACATTGGTGCAACTACACCATTTCTTAGGTGGTTGCCTCTAACGGCACTAAACTGTTTTGACATCCTGCCATTCAGCTGCTGCCTCCTTTCCATAGATAGGAAAACCATAGTCCAGATTCCCAGGCTTGACTCTGGGCTTGTGGTTGCTCACAAGGACAGCAGGCAAGAAAGTGGGAGTGGGCTGGGCCTGAAAATGGCCTTCTCTGGGGCTCCATCCCTCCACCTCCACTTTGGTTTCTCAAGAGTTCAGTAAACTCTCTCTTTAAGGGGCTGGTAGCAAACATCTTCAGCTTTGCAAGCCAGATGGTCTCCGTGCAAGCACTCAACTCTGCTGGTGCAGCATGAAAGCACCCACAGACAGCAGAATGAATGAGCATGGCTGAGTTCCATAAAACCTTACGAATGCCAAATAATTTTCACTTGTCACCAAATATTCTTCTTCTTTGGATTTTTTTCCCTCTAACTGTCCAAAAATGTCAATACCATTCTCAGCTTATGGGCTGTATGTACAAAAACAGTTGACAACTAGAGGTGGCCTGTAGGCCATAGTTTGCTGCCCCTGCCCGACAGCATTAAAAGTCCTAAATCTATAGAACTGGAAGGCTGACTTGCTCAGTGTGTGGCTTCAGGTGCATCTGTGGATTCCTCCCATGTCCTTCCATTCATTCAACACAAACTCATTTAATAGTGGCCCTGAGCCAGACCCTGGGGATAGTGAGAGGATCTGCAGACACATACGTGTTTGTGCACTCTTATGTACTTGTTTTGTACACATACCTTACCTCTTCTACCAGGTTATGAACCTTTGTGGGGATAAAGGAATAGGTCTTGCCTCCACCTCAGTGCCTGGCCCAGGGCTATGTGCACCTTGCAGGAGGCAAGTTCACTGTCATGCACATATGTGTTCTGCAAATACCCGCCTGTTTTACATGCATGCATTTGGATATGTGGATGTCCTTACAAATGCAGTCTGATCATGTCATTTTCCCTCCTCAAACTCTCCCAGGGCTCATAAATGGGTGGTCCTAATGTGGCCTATGGAGTAGTTCATGCCTGTTCCTGATTCCTCCTGGGTCTTGCTTTACCTTTCATGGCACCATTCCCCACCCTAGTTTTACCATCACCAACCTCTCGGTTCCGTTGCAACTTTGCCTGCAATTCCCTTCTCCTGCCTTTTTGCCCCATCCATTCGTACTCATCCTATGCATCTCAACTCCAGCATTACTTCCTCAAGGAGGAAGCCTCCCTTGAGGTTTGCATCACTTCCTGGAGTGCATCTGGTGGTGCTGTTACCTCTTTCATGGTCCTGTGGGTTTTCCTCCATCTCCTACTATTTGTAATGGTACATTTGTCCTGCAATTGTTTGATCACCTGCATTCCCCTCTAGCTTGAAGGCTGCAAGGGGCAGGAAGGTGTCTGTTTGCTCACCACGGCATCCCTGCCTCCAGCATAAAGCCTGCACCCAGAAGGGGCTCCGAGAGATGCCCGGCACAGGAAGGAACTGACACTTGTGCTGGGCCTACTTTGGAGGAGGCAGTTGGCCACTGCCCCGGCCCCCACCCAACCCACCCACCTCTGCACAGGAACTCCCTTACCGGTTCGTAGACCCATTGTAGCAGTAGTTGGGGAGGAAGTCAAAGTTCAGCTCCCAGAAGACATGCAGGGTGATGCGGCCATAGGGGGCAGACACATTGTGATTGGCCTCCCGGAACATGGCGTCGAAGCTGTCCAGTGTCATGTGCTTACAGAGCAGCCGGTGAGTGAGCCGGTTAATCTCCAGAAGCCACTCCAGCTCCTGCCCAGAGACAGAACCCACAACTGCTGAAGACTGACACGTGAACCTTACATGCGCACACTTCACTCCTTTCATGCAGCTGAGAGATCCTCAGACAACCTCGCAACCACCTAAACAGGGACGAGAATCCCTGAAGTGGCATGTGACAGTGTTCCCTTCTGTGAAGTGGAGGAAACTGCTGTACTATGCTGGAGGAAAAGGGGAGGTGGGGGGCAGCGGTCCTGCTTGTCTGCCTCCAGAAGGAGACCACGGACTGTGTACAAATGCCCTGTTTGCACTCCTTGAGTAGAAAGCATGCTTGCTTGCTTTCCAGTTCCTATACTGGTGAGAAAAAAACCTTGTCCCTCAGTTTCACAAGTAAAGTAAAAGAAAATTGTGAGTGGGTATTATCAGGGGCTATCTCACAGTCCTGCAGAAAGCAATAAGAGCTACTACCTATTGAGTGCTATTAGGTCAGACCATATGAAACTGCTGTTTTTTAGGTTGAACACTGTCTAATACTGTCAATTTTGTATGGACCAACATAATTAATATGAGCCCATACTATGTGTTAACTCATTTAATGCCCATCAAAACCCTATGAGGTCAGTATGCTGCTGTCCTTACTTTGCACACATAGAAGTTAAGTAACTTGGACTCAAATCCAGGAAGTTGGGCTCCAAAGTGCACATTCTTAACCACTATATCACTCCTATTGAAATTTTAAAGGAGGCAGGGGCAGAATGCCTCCTCCTTTGGACTGGAGGCCTTGGTCACGCAGGGGTTGGCAAAGGTGTGGCTACAAGCTATGGGCAAGCAGTCTGCAGTCAGCCCACGATGACCAGGGACCTGTGTGTTCTGCAAGTCCTGCTCATTAGGAATCCCACCTTCAGGCAGAGGGCGGGATCAGGGTGGATAATATCTGCACACAGTAGAACACTGCATTTGTCGGGAAATAAAAACAGTAAAACCTTTATTGCTGGCCTTGGTCTGTTGTTGTCCTGCAACTCGGTTTGGTTAAGCTATCCTTTGGGATAGGTACAACTGTCCCTGTTTCATAGAGAGCATTTCAACCAAGGCTTGGAAGCTTATGTAACTTGCCCAGGGTCAAACAGGGAGTTCATGACAGGGTTTGGGATGTGAATCCAGGTCTTCTGATTCCAAATCACATGTTCTTGGCCCCTCTGACACAATTCCCTGGAAAAAGGATGCAAGAGCTGTGAAAGTTCTTTGAAAGGCAGAGATGATCTTACAATATAAAGGCTGAAAGAACATCAGCAAGAACACAGTCAGGTGGGATGGCCAGAGGGCCAGCTTTAACGGCTGGGACATGGAGCTGAGCTGGTCACAGGAGGTAGTCACATGCCAGAGACTCAA